ACAAAGGCAACCAGAAAAAACACATGGGCCGTCCACTAAGTACTTGTTCCTAAGGCGGGGGTTTACCTAAAGTCCATGAAGGCACAAAGCCAACCAGAAAAACGCATGTCCGTGGACAGAGGTACCCAGACAGAGAGAGAGAGAGAGAGACTTACCTTTTTGGACATCTCGACCATGATGTGACGAGTCGCCGCCAAGCTGGGGCGACTGCTTCAGTCGCCCAAGCGCTTTAGCGCTTGCGCGCATCCGATACCCTCTGAGGTCGAGGATCGGGCAAGCTGTTTGCACTACTTGGGATATGTTGGAGGTATCAAATTCCATTGGAAAGCGTGGTCCCGCAAAATAGATAGAAAACGGCTTTCCAATGCCTCTTGAAAGGGGTTGTACATGGTTTTGGGGGGGGTCTATAAGTATGAAACATAAGGATTGCAGGGTTCCCGTATGAAAAAGGCACCTGAATACCCGCTCGTAGTCGGACGTGATTTGGGACATGATGAAGGCCATCATATGGTATGTCTGAATGGGTTGGCCAACATTCGATGTCAACAAATCCAAGACATACCATATAATCTGAATGGTCAATGGCTATATCATATGGTATGTCTGAATGGTATGATCTCAACAAATCCAAGATGATCAGCATCTCTTGTCAAACATCTCCCTCATAGGAGGTGTGTTTGACTGGATCAGACCTTCCTGAATCTTCAAGGCATGACAGATCAGCAGATTAGTACAGACGAGTTGTTTACTCAGACCTTCAGGTCTTCGTTGCGTTTGCGTGTGCCTGCCTTTGTTCATCATTCACAGACTGCCACACTTGTTTAAACCTCAAAATGTAACAAACATGGGTCCACACATGCAGCGAACTCCGTTAAACTGTATATGCTGAGCTCACCTCGTATATGCTGAGCTCATATGGGTCTACCTCGTATATGCTGAGCTCACCAAGTCACCACCAAGTCACCAAGCTACATGTTCTTGTTAAGCTTGTTTGTCCACCTGGTCCAGCTTGTCGGGTAGACATGGTCGACCGACATGCGACAGGCGATGCGACCGAAATTCGCGTGGCGAAAAGCGGTGTGTGGCGAAAAGGCGCTACCCTTAGAGACCCTCCACATCCCGTGACATGTGAGTGTGATCCCCTACCAGACATTTCTGCTTGAGTTGAGGTAGCAGGTCATTGAATTTGCATCTTTTTTTGGAACATTTGCTTGGTTGCGCCGCCGGACATGAACATGGCAATCCCGAATATTATTGTGATAACCTGAATGTTCGGTCTCCACCAATACCACAGGGATCAAACTTTGGGCTAACTGGTCGCATTGGTGCTGGTGCTGTGGAATTCATCAGAATAAGAGCAGCTCCTGCCACCTTCCAGATGGGGCGCATGATGGCGCATGACTGCATGAGGGTTGGAAGATTCAAAAAAGAGAAAGCCCCCCAGGCCCGTCAGGACAAACCTGTGACCTGGCCATCGGCCAGACATGTCGGGATCGAAGCTCAGGAAGGTCCCGGGCTTTTGCAGCCCATGGTGTTTCAAGGGGCCCGACCAGCGGAGTGTGGCTCCGTCGTTGGCGCCGAGAGCACGGCCGAAGGGCCGAGCCGAAGTCATCTCTCAGTTGGAGCGAAGTTGGCGAAGTGAAGATGGGGAAGGATGCGAGGGTGAAGATGGGGGCGATCCAGAAGTTTTGGCGAGGTTCTCATTTTGAATCAATCCTCAGGATCTTTTTTGAGGGGGGGCCAGCGCGAATCTAAACCACCACTTGGGAATTGAGAAGAGTTCAGATATGGATATATACAACGTGAAGTTTGATCGGGTCCAGTATCCAAAAAGCAGTCCTGGTAGAGTTTAAGCTAGGAGTTCTGGGGCGAGCAATGGCCACGTCGGTCTTTCGTCACGTTCCTGAAGGCTGGCGTTTGAGAAGTCTTAGATGATGATCTTGATGGGTCTTGGAGGAACCCTCTCCTATCAAAGATGTTTAAGGAAGACTCGCATCATCTTAATATCAGAGGTTGTTAGGTGGCCCTTCAGACGACTTGGATGCCAATCAAATTCTGCCCTAGCTTCGCTGCGCACGTACCATCCCCCCCATGAAGCTCATGCACACAACAACCCCGTGTCCGACGAGGATTTTCTGGAGGTGCAATACTACATCTCTATATCCCCCGTGATTGTGGGCTTATAAAATGCAGATCCTTTTCCTCTACAAAATGCAAATTCCAAGACACATTTTATAAACATTAGGGTGCGGGTGTGTGTTTATTTTTAAGGATAACTACATAAGATCTGGAGTATCGTCATTTTATAACCTTTACTAACTTGGACACTGAATGACAGTAATAGAGGGCAGGTGAACCCCGTAATCTCATTTTATAAACATTCACTTGTCGAGTTGTCAGAGGATGGTCAGAACATGATTTCTCATTTTTATAAAGATCATGTTCTGGACTATCTATAAATATTGATTTTTCACATTTTTTCTAAAAATCCTAAAAACCTCTTCAAACCTCAAGGAAAGACAGGAACTGAAGGAATATGACCAGGAAAATAGCTAAGAATTAAAAGTTAACTAGCTACTTTTTCTACACGTTTTCTCCTCTCACCCCCGTAAAGGAAATAAACACAGAGACAGGGGGAGAGGAGAAAAAGTGTAGAAAACGTAGCTAGTTAATTTTTAATTCTTAGCTATTTTCCTGGTCATATATATTCCTTCAGTTCCTGTCTTTCCTTGAGGTTTGAAGAGGTTTGGGGTCATTTCTTAAAATTTATGATTTTTTGAAAAAAAATGTGAAACATCAATATTTTTAGATAGTTTGCTGGTCTAATTCCTGTCTTTCATTATTGAAAATATAAATTTTCAGAATCTAAAAATCAGAATCTTGAGACATGACGAATTTTCATTTTATAAAGTATCCGGATTTGGCTTCTTACGGACATTTCCGATGAGCAATTCGCATTTTATAAAGTGTTTCTTCCTGGATGTCAATTTCTATCTTAACCTATCACAACTTGTGCTGGTCATTTTATAAACTAATTGGTTGTTCGTTTTATAAACAAAAAAACCTATCCCACACATTTTATAAACCCACAAAGTTTATAAAATGCAAAATCAGCGCGCCTATGGACAATCACGGGGGATATCTCTATATATAATCATTGAATCCAGGTTACGGGATAGCCTATCATTTGATGGCCACATCTTTCAGGCTGTCCTTGACAGGTGAAAGGAAGAGTTGTCCACATGCTTTTGAGTTCAATATTTTGAGTTTATTCCTTTTCCGAGGTGAGTTCAGCGTATACTGGGAATGCCTCAATAATTGATTCATACTAACGCACCCATCATCCAGCTTGGTTTCCCAGCTGATCATCGTTCCACTTCCTCACCAAATCCGCCCGAGCATTGCCTCGCCAATGCTTCGCCAGCGATGCTTAAAGCGAATCGACTTACTCGTCGTGGACGAGTGCCTTGAGGATCGCGCTTCCCCGTCGCAATCGGGGTAGGCCGTGCTCCGCACAAATTGCTGGGCTCAAGGTACCTCTGAACCACTTCCAGAAGCTGGAAAGAACGGGGTTTCCGAACCCCCCCGTGAGACTGTACGCCATGGAGACATCACCAGCAACGTAGAGGCAAGAGCCTCACAAGCAATCACAAGCAGATTGATATACAAATCAACTGTCATTCTCCATCTACTAAGTGAACAACAACTTATTTGGAAGGATTCGGTGCTTCTGGCTAGTGGCTTGAAACAAATTGGCGATATCAAAAAAATACTATAATTCATGCTGCCCGCGACAGCGCGAGACATGCACCACAGATCTTGGCAGTCAATAGGCCGAGTCAAATTTCTTACGACGCTGTACAGCAAGAGCTGAGCAGCCTTTGGTCGTCAAAGTTTGAGGAAGGCCAAGTCTTTGCCAACAGACAGAGGGAGATAGGTTTCATGGAAAGGGTTCACGTCAAAGAAGTATTGCACTGTTTATTTACCGCACGGTGTGCGTGCCAGGTGGTGTAATTACTGCAAATAGTACGTGTAGGACTCTGTAGGAGTCCTTCATCAACAGTTTTGCAAAAAGAAGAACAGCTAAAAAGAGACAAAGCCCCCGAGGCCAGGCACTGACAGAGCAGCGACAACCATGCATGAGACTACTTTCCTTACAAACAGGAGGTTTTCCACTTCCATGTTAGTGAGTCGGAGTGTAAATTTTGGGGGGTCCGTGTTTAAACATCAGGTGGTTGGGGATTTGCATGTTCAACAAGTGATGAGACGTACAACCTGTTTGGCGTCAATGATGGCCTTCCACCGCGGGACGTGTGGGGACATGTGGGGACGTGAGCTGTGCAGCACAACCACCACGACCGGTTCTGCCCGCGGCTCACTGGGATGTCAGAGGATTGATGGCTGTAGTGGCGCCACACTCGACCAGTCGAGCGTGGCCGCAGTCAGACACCCCGTCGTCCCTCAAACCATGACCGGAGAGCGAGAAAGAAAAAAAGGGAGACTGGTCTGACCCTCCGAGCGTCTCCGAGCGTCTGACTCTCCGAGCAAGGTCTCTTCGGGTGCGGGGTTGTTCCGTTCGCCGCAGGGTCCAGGTGTTCCGTGTTCGTCGAATTGGTTGTCGCATGCGGCCGGAAGCCACGTTCACTGCCCCATGCCTCATGGGCTCTGTGTCCAACATCCGAGACACTGAAAAGATAACGAACCGCCCCTGCGATGAGCGCTACGCTACCCCCCTGCGTGCCCCGAAAAGGTCCGCTGGGGGAACAAAAACAGAATTAGCATGAATTAGCAGAGCATGTGAAGCGCCCCACGGGTTGCGACTTGCACAGTTTCCCCAACCGATGACCGATGTGGGGCTCATCATCACCGACTGTCCTTTGACTGTCCACGAGAAACTCGGATCCGGGGTGAAGAGTCGGCAGTCCAACGTGTTGGAATGCAATTTGAAGGTGCTGTGGTTCGAGAGTAGGTCATTGGAAGAAACAACAACCTCAACTCAGGCATTGGCACTCAGCGAGGAGCAGTATCTTGACCATTCGACTGACTGCGAGCGTGTTGCGCAGCGGTGGTTTGCCGAAGTGATCCTGGCAGGGGCCCTCCTAGTATTAGCCTAACGGCAGCTTGGGCACTTGATTTCTAGACGTGGGGGTTCCAAGTCATTGCGGCAGCCAGTGAAAGAGTCATCATTATGTTTGGATGCGGTCTCTACAAACCATCATCCTCGTCCACCGCGCCCCTAGAGTGAACAAGGCAACTGATGTGCATCCTGTTTGCCGATGCCCGTTGGTTCCTGACCACGCGTTGCTGGAAACAGTCTTGACTTGCTGAGGACCATCATGACTTCACATGACCATGGCCCGATGACTTGTAGCTGACCCAGCTGGCCAAAAAAAAACACTGGATGGTGAAAACCCCATCATGTACTGCTGTGTGTTGTGTGAAAACCCCGGTGTTTGCTAAGGTTTTTTCCCACTAGGCATTCCTTTTCATCCAAGAACGAACATGAACGAACAGCGCCGTGGTGGAAGAACGAGACGATCCGCCGTGGCAACACACTCGCCACCGAGGCCCGAGGAGACGGTGGACGTCTTGCAGCCGGATGCCACGAACATGGAGAAGAAGAAACCCATCGTCCAAGCTTGGAAGGAGGTGCTTAGTATAATGAGTTAGGTATAGAGTGAGTGGTACTTGTAGTGGCCAAGAGAGGTAACGTTAGTGACCCTTTAGATCCTATAGGACCCTAAGCTACCGGATAGTCGAACTAGGGCTCTTCAACCTCTCTTGGGGTGGCGAGTTCAGCGCCGCTGATGGGAGTCTTTTGGGGGGTCGGCGAGTCACAGAGACGTTCCTGCAGCAAGCTGGAAGGGGCCTGGTGGGTGACGAAAATTGATTGGTCGGCGACGCCCGATGCCGAGAAGGAGATGGGTCGAATATATGAAACTAGAAAAGGCATTAGTGCTAAGGCAATATGCCCAAAGAATGCCAAAGAGCAGGTGGAGAACAAAAAACAATATGTGTACCCAGTTTACATCTGTTTTTGCATGTGCGTTGTGTCGTGCCATGCCGTGCCCAACAACTGCCCTGCCAGTGTGAACATGGAGGCAGCTGGGCATTGATAGAAAACGAACATGTGGCCCTTGGTTTTCCGCAAAATATTCTTCAACATGTTCAATTGAGTGGCTGAGTATCTACCGAAAAACCGGATGGGCTGGTTCCTTTGTCGGCTCTTAAGAAAGGGCGTGGCATCGGTCCCCATGTGCATGCGACCACTCACCCCATGTTAAGACAACTCTCCCCCAAGGGTGCGGCATTTGTCCCATGCTTTTTGGTACTTTGGCTGACTGATGCTTAGTAAAGAATGAGGGAATGGATCCTATGGTATCTATAGTGAGGGGTCATTCTCTCATTCCTTAGGGAATGAGGTCAGTTGGAGTGGACCAGCTCAGCTCACCAGCTCACCTCACCTCTCCCCCCGGAGGCGGTCAGTGGCTGTGCGCCGAAGCGATCCTTCGAGGGCGATGGAGGCGGCCGGGCGAAGTTCGCCAAGAAGTCTGAGGCGGCCGGGCGGGCGGACTTCGGCGGAGGCGGTACAGTACGAGCAGGATGGAGGCGGTACAGAACGTGGACGACGGGACAAAACATGACATCATGAGTCGGGTTCATCCGTGACCATGAGTGGAAAGGTGAATTTAGAGGTGTGAAACCCATGTGAAACCTTGTATGAAAGGGATGGCATGATGATCTTGGCATGTGTGTTTTCATGCGTGCTCGGCATGGGTTCGCGAAAGGAACCAGTGTGGACGGAGGGAGCGGAGGGGCAGGCTATCTTTATTCACTCCGATGAACAATGGCATAGGATGGCATAGCCCCGAAAGGAAAGATGCCCTGAATCATGCAGACGTTTTTTCTTCACACCTTCGGTTGAACGAAGTCGAACGGCCAATGGTGGCGGCCATGCGTCACCAGAATCATGCAGATTAAACAGAGGGGTGAATGTCCGAATGCACCGTTCGAATGCACCGTCCGTATTGCGGTTTTCGGGGTTTTCCCGAAGGGAGCTTCCGAATTCCAGCCTTTGAATTCGCAAGTCAGGGGGGATGTTTTTTCCCCAGCGCTCCCACATGTGTTTGTCTCCATTGGCTTGTCATAGTGGAAAACACGTGTTCCTTCCATGAGCCGAAGTAGGTGTACAGGATGCATACCCTGCAGTTAAAGGGAGTTGCTGTGACAAACGACTGGAAGACTTGCGGTGACAAACACTACTCACAAGTAGGTTCCTGGACCATCTGGTGTGGGTCTCCAATGGAGATCCCTATAGTGGTGGTTGAACCCGTCTCACATCCTTTCCCTGTTTTCCCCTGTTTGGCTCCAAAAATCTTGGGTTTGCAGGGGAGGTGTTAAGAAAGATGCACGGGAGGCATGTTCAACCCATCTCAAACGGCAGTTTTCGGCAACTGCGCAGTGCAAAGGAGCTTGTTGGACCGACTGCTCAAAACTTATTGGACTAGTTGAAGTCGTGACGTTCAAAGAAGGAGGTGCAAGACCATAGTGTAGACTGTTGATTAATACCCCCCCTCCCCATTTAAATTGTATATAGCGCCTTTTCGGATGGGGGGGGTTGTTCATCAAGAGTCTAAGAACCATGGTTTTATATTGTTTTACCAAGAATGCCACACACCAGCCAACCAGGTCAACCAGCCAACCAGCTTCAAAGCTCTCACTTCCCGGACCGACAGGCCCCAGCTGTGCCAGAGGGGAAGGAGGCAATGCGGGCATTGCTGCATTCAGGCGCGCGTGACCGCCTGGTGGCGTGGCCACCTTTTTGTGGGCGCATGATCCCTATCAAGAACGTTTTTGTTTGTCTAGTTTCTTTTGGGGGGGGAGCTCCTACATAGGTAATGGAGAGAGACACCCGAGAGAGAAGCTGAGAACAAAGATCCACTGCCCTGAGCAGCGTGCCAGAGGGGATGGAAGACTGAAGATGAGGATTAGCAACAAAGTTGGCACATAATGCAGGACCAAAGAGTCCTTTGGTCTTCTTGTGATGCTTTGTTCATAGTTCATTGCCACCTCCACCACGAGAAAAAGACTCCTCCAACACTCGAGCCATCTTGAGCCCAGACATCAAAGCCTGGTCCAATGAGTCTATCCGTCGCCTTCCGCGAGGTGACGCGGAGCGACTCACAGTGCCACAGCTGAGGGATTGGCTGAAGAGCCACGGGGTGCAGAACACGGGGAAAAAGCAAGAACTCTTGGAGCGGGTTCGCAGCTGCGTTTGAGGACGAAACATGCACAGAATCATCCAAACTCGAAGAAAAAACATCTAACATCATCTAACTTCAACTTGTTGAAGTATTTAATTTCAACTTATTGTTCGTATTGTTTCAGTTTTAGTGAATTTGGTCTGTACGGCGGCCTCAGAAATCTTGGGCAGGTGGAGAAGTGTGACCTGGATGGTCTCATAGATACTTCACAGCTCCCACTCCACTACCCACATAGACAGCCTCCATGACACCGTCCACGAAGTGCAGCCGCTCTGGATGTTCATCGTCCCCGTGTGCAACACATGGGGAAAAGTGCAGCCGCAGCTGTGCAGATTTTCGGCGAGAGCAAGAGCGCCGGACCGACTGGTCGCCCGAGATCGAGGGCCCATGGCAATGACATGGTATGTCGTTCATCCTAGTCAAGTCGTGTATAGATTGGCAAAAGGTTGCAGGAGTTCAGCTGCTGTGTAATTAAAGAGAGTCTAAGCCAATTTGAAGATGCGGGCAGCCGTAATTTGCCGTATTCGTCGCTGGTCGCGTCACGCCTGTAGCAATTAGCAATGAAGCAATCAATATCTCAGTCTGCCAGGTCCGGGATGAAATAGTTTACCGACGAATCGCCAAATCCCACGATGGGTCTATCAACAACATGAGAAGCGTATTGGACCAACTATGACCACATCGAAATCAGGTCGGCACAAGTGGTTGCTTTAGCCTACAGAGGGTTTCCAGGGGGCTATCTCCCTCGCATGTATCTAATCGCACAATTCATGTCGCAGGCGACAAATGCCAATGCTTTTGCAAAGCTCAAGCTCCTTCAACTTGGACGCCTTGCAAGGGGATCCCTGCCAATGGCTTCTTTCAGTTTGCCACTGCTGTTGGAGCTGTTTGTGTGTGTGTGTGTGTGTCACGTGTTGGGCGGTAAGCCCGGTAATGAAAAAAAATATTAGGGATTTGCTTCAACCGCCGGCCTGATCGGCCTGCACAGCCACAGCTGCCGCGGTGGCACAGGGCAGAGATGTCCACGATTGAAGGAAAACAGAGCTCGGTGGAATCGGAGGGCTGGAGATCATTAGGGTGGGATCTGGTCAGGTTTCCTGACTTATTCACTATCGCTGCTCCGGAGCGTTCGCGTTTGCAGGTATCCATATTCCCCACAAAAAGCGGGGAGCTGTTCAGAGCTAGAGGAAGTTCCCCAACCCCCATTGCTAGTTGAAAAAAATAAGGTACATACAGTATGCCCCAACCCCCTTGCTAGTTCAAAGAAACAGGTATGAAAGTCGTGGGTGGCAGTGCTGGGCTGACATCTATTGCTCGCAAGAGTCGGCCAAGCGGGCCTGCATCTCATCGAGACTTGCATGGAAAGCCGGGATTTTGGACGAAACCTGGGTGGCTCGTCATCGGTGTCATTCGGTTTCAAGACATGCTGCTTTTTGTAAGTCTATGTTTCATCACACCCCCCCTTAACCCTCAAAATGTAAGTTACACCTTAGGAGAGGTCCCCCCTGCACAGGGGTGGTGATTGATGTTTCCTTCAACACATGGCGTCCTGTTGAGCCCTGTTGAGCCCTGTTGCTTTGATTCTCATCCTTTTATCCTAGCTGGTCTCCTGATCTGTTTGATAATAAAAACCCACGAGGCGATGGCCGTTCCCGCTTGCGTGCCATGTGTTTTGAAAGCTTCCCGCTGGCGCGCCAGGTATTCGCTGAGCATCGCTCCATGCTCCATGCTGGGTGGCCCAGATGTGGACGCCCCACAACCTGCCTGATGGAGCAGATGAAGCTCATCAGTTTCAGGGGTTCTTGGGTTCATCTCTTCATCAGTTCAGGGCAGAAGCTGGGACCAGCCCCACTTCTCTGCGGTGGGAAGTGGAAAAGAATCGCCAGAAGTGCATTGCACTCCATTAAGCACCATGTAAATATGTGGGCCACATATAGTGCCACATATAAAGTGCCACATATAGTGCCACGTGTGTACACCCGAAGGCCTCTGGTGGTTGACTTTCTACGACTTTGTTTCTTCCAAGTCATGAACCTATTTTGAGGCAAGTCATATGCCCGGCCTGGTGGGCTCCGCAGGGAACACTGACCACCCCTTGACCGGTCGAAGGATCGCAACGCGAGGAACGTCGACGCGGTCGTGTCCGATGAGCCGAGTCCTCGGGCGCTTGGGTTTCGAGGGCGAGAGACCTCTGAGGCGATCGATCTTTTTCATTGAAGAGCGAGGTTAAAGAGTTGAACCCCAGGGTTTTGGGGTGGAGTTGTTGCAGGCCTAGGGCCTAGTATCCTATCGGCCCAGAATACGTCCCGGATGCAAATTCATGGATGTTAGGGTTAGGAAGCTTTCATAGCAGTGAGACAGCACGATTACTCATTCCTATAGCTTTCATCTCTTCCACCTTCAGCTTAGGGTAAGGGTTCTTACCCATGTTCTAGCTTGACACCCGGAGCGTACCGCGCCCTCGCCGCCGTCCTGGCCGGGGCGCCATTCGACCCTCAGGGCGGAGCTGTGAGCGGTGGAGGTTTGACCGGCGATGCTGCGGTGTTTGGAGGGCAAGGGCGGCTTGGAGAGGAGCTGGTCCAGACAGGCGAGGGGCGGACGCCGTGCGGACCATGGAAGGAAGTTGGAACCCCCACTTGATCAAAACAGGTGGACATGGGATGGGATGGGAAGAAGGGGTGAGTCTTTCTTGAGTCGGGAATTATGGGGTGGAGATGGGAAAATGGCCCTGGTGCTGGACCCGATGTGGCTTGATGTTGGGCCGGCATAAACCGTAAACCCCAATAAAGTCTGCGGTTGATGTACTTGAGCCCTTCCTCACTCAGACTCATCAAAGTGAGAAATCCATTCACAGTCAGTCGACCCAGGGGTGCTTGGCCTTCATCCCATGCTAACCGGCCTGTGCCACTACCTACGCCTACATAATATGACGACGGACATTTGCTTCATGTACCATGCCAATTTAATAGTATTTAGCAGGTGGAAGTATTTTTTAAGATTCTTCCGGACAAATTGCAGAATCATATTAGTTTAGACTGGGAGTGGTGGTGGGGGGTTGAAGTAATTTCTTGATGAGACTGAACGCAACCAAAACAACTCGGAAACCAACGGAAATGATTTGCACAATAACATAGTGACTCTCATACTTGAGAATGTTGAGTATGTTGAGTTCTTACCTTTTTGGGACTGTCTCACTTTTTGGCTGCCCAATTGGCTACTGCATGTCCATGTCCTTCCAGATCAGTTCAGCATTCAGAAATTCGGAGGATGGTGAGTGTCAAAGAACGGGCATGATGTTGCCACGTTTAGCCGGTGGTGGACTGCGACACCGCAGTTTGTGCAGGTCTTTTTCGCCGTGAATCACCCAGCGAATCCCCAGTGAATCAGTGGGAAGTGTGTGCATAGGATATGTATTGATACGTATATTGGACACCATTCATTCAATTCAATATACTACCACATTCATCCACATGCATTTGCAATATTATCGTGTGCCAAGTTTGGTTAAAACACCCACTGAACAATGTGGAAGGGTCAGCGGCGTCACCCTTGAAGAACAAACCAGTGGAGGATACCACCCAAACAAGGCATCACTTGGAACTCCTTCGGAACAACTCACGCCCCACAGGCGCAAGCTGAAGGCTTTGGCACTCTTGCAGTTCTTGGAAGGTCACGGTCACTTGGTAGGGATGGATGTCATGCATGTTTTGGAGTCGTTCTGGTCAAAGGAGTGACCAGAGCTGGACATCGAAAGCAACTCAAAGCAACACCGGTTCTGCTCACGAAGTGGGATGCATCCTTGAGAAACGAAGTTATGGACTGGCTGACATCCAGCCTGAGTGGTCAGCGTTCCTGTTGGTGATTTGTGGGGTTTGGGAGCACCGGCGAACGCAGTTGAAATCTTCGGTTTGCCGCTTTGGGGGAGTGGTTCACGGAAAAAGTCTCACCCCTCACAGAGGAAAACAAAACAAAAGTTATTATATAAGACATTATAAGTTGAACATGTCCAACTGGAAGACGATAGCCTCATAAAATCACCGGGTGGCTCTGTCTAGCAGACCATGGACCTAAGACATGTTGTTAGCTAGTATGGAGACGTGTCATGGCCGTAGGTGATCATGGACCGACGATGGGCAAAGATGCCCTGGGGTTTGTTCAGAACCCATGCAATGGTCGAACAGCGGTTTTATGTGCCCACCTTTTGGCTGGTCTAGGGGTCTAGGGAATGCGAGGTTTACACACATATGACACACATGTTCCACAACAATCAATGACAATGGACAATTATGACAAACTACATCATGCGAAAGATGGGAGGGATGAGGGATGTCTAGAAGCCAACACACTGCCTCTTTTCAGAAGGTCCACTGGAGTAGATGAGCAACAACGCCACCGGCATTGACGACGCAAGCACCGAGCGTTGAACGCCTTTGTGGGAACTGATAGGATGGGGCATCGAACTGAACGATGCGGACGCCAAAGAACCCACTCGGGGCTCCTGGCCCAAACAACCAACGAAGCGGAACGATCGGACCGCTACGTTCGGAGCATTTCGGGCGGAACTGACGGTCTGGGCCTCCCAGCTTGCTTCGTGGCTCGCTGCTTGGTGGCTCGCTCCACTCGTCTCGGTTCGGGGCGACCGTCGAACGGTCGTCAAAGCCTAAGGCGAAGAGAACGTGAGGCCGTGCATGGTGATCTCCTGCCAGGCGGAAGGGGATGCTCCGCCCATAGTGGAGGAGACGAAGACTGGGGGGGGGAAAGAGTATATCATGAGAGGTTGATGATGTTTCAACCACCCATACGAAGAGATTGTATATGGTTGTATCAGATTCCGGTCTGCGATTTCTAGGTTTTGGCCTGTGTGCCTGTTGTCCTGTTGTTATGTTACGACCTGTGCGTCGGCAATATGTCAGGCGCGAGATCTGGCGCGAGAGGTAGTATATGGTTGCATCATATCATCCAAAATTGGGGGGGTCTATACATACATACACATTAAAGGAGACCAAGCAGGCAAA